TGTTGTAGCTGGTGTATTTGTTGCTGTTGATCGCGCCCACACGACTTTAGTCATATATATTCACCTGCAGCCGCTGCACCATGGTTGCTGTTGTTGTTGTTGCTTTCATATGGCCCATTAGTCAGGGTCTTGTACATCATCAATTGCTGATCGTTACGCAAGCTGATCTTCAGATACAGACTGGCCAGATGTAGGTCGCGACGCTGAATGACAATGCACTTGCATTGCTCCAGCAGCGATTGCTGATAAAGTTCAGCCAATGGCAGCTGGCCCATGCCCAGCATCTCGTTCAGACAGGTGCCCGGTTCGCGCCACCAGATCGTGAAATGAATACTGCCCATTTCCTTATCATCATTTTCCATTCCGGGCAACTGTATCTGTCGCTGCTGCGTCTGCCCGAAGCGTGTGCATTGGGTGAGACTTTGGAATTTCTCCGATTCGAATTGCATAATATGGAACATGGGACCACGCGGCACTGAGGCAATCAGTTCATCAGACAGCTGACATTCGACAGTGAAAATGGGTCGCACTTCGCTCTGGAGCAGCTCCATGCGTTTGGTGCCCTCCGCCTGGAGTGTTAATGCTTCCAAGTGCAGCTGCAGGGCATTCACCTGCTTGAACAGCTCTGGTGTCGCCTGATCTTGGGCCACATGGCTCGATGGCAGCTCCTGTTCCGGTAGTACCTGCTCCGGCCACAGTTGCTCCACATTGTTGAGATGCGGCTGCTGCTGCTGTTTCAGCTTCAACTGATCCATGTTTGGCTCAGCGGCTGTGGCGAATAGCGCCACCAGATCGGCATCCAATTTCTTCATGGCCTCCATTAGCTCAACTTTGGCTGGTGCAGCAGATGCAATCGACGTGGTTGTACCTGAAATATATATCAATATATTTAAATATGACATATATATTTGCAAATCAAGCGTGCAAAAATATTTCCAAAAGCTTTACAATTTCTTGAGAGTAGTCTCTTTTACTCGGGGCAGCGAGCGCGTGTCCGATCGCCACAACGTGGGTTTCTACAATGACGGCAGAGCCGAGAGTAACTGATATACATAGGGATGGAGGGCCGGCAACAGTCGACGCTAATCGCAGTTTATGCTTTACTCTTCCAATTCTGAACTCTCGCTTACGCTCTCTCGTTCTCTCTTTCTCTCTCTCGCTCTTACGCTGTGACATTAACCAACTGAAGCTCGCCGATGCTCCTACACTCTCTCAAAAGCTACCAATGACTGTTCTCCAACGGCGCAAAGCATGTATGCTTTTGCATAACTGTATTTATGAATTAACTTACATACTGTTCACTGCCATTCATTTTACCACCATCAGCAATTAAATATGTAACTACAAATTTACTCTCTTTTAAATTAAATATTTTTCATTTTTAATAAATTATTTCTGCTACTCAATAAAACAAAACAAAACAAAATTAACTAGATCTGTCACACTCTAACATCAATTTAGAAATTCGCTCAAATTGTTTCCGCTCAAACATATCAGCATAGTACATGTAGACTTTTTTTTCAAAGTGTATATTAGCTAATTTAGCAACAGAATTGAAGACGAATTTCGCATTTGATATTCGAATGGTTCTAGAACAAATGGAAATGTTTGTTTGATTTTTGTGTAGGTATGTAAGATTTTTTTCGAAGTGTATTTCTAATTTAGCAAATTTGTAAAATCTCTACTGAAATACTATACTATAAATAATACGTCAATAATACGTTATATAGGGAAATGGAACACGTAGTTTAAAAATTCATATAATTAATTTTAGTATTTAATATAATTATTGGCCATCTGTTAATCTTGTTTTCCTTATTTTTGTTTTGTTTTTTTTTTTGTATTTTGCTTAGCAACAGAGCGAGATAAGCGTCCGGGTTCAACGACATAGCCTGGGTGAGATTCTACATAAAGTACTACCAGACCTAGACATAACCAGATAATAGGACTACCAATTATATGTACATACATATACTATGTACCTGATTAAAACCCATAGAAATTCGCGTGGAACGAATTAGTCAGCAAAAGGCAATTGAAAAATGAAAGCTGAAATACTTGTATAATGCTTTATCAAGGTCTTGTCCTATTGATTATAGCTTAGAAAGCTCCCCATAAGAATAGATGCATGTACATATGTATAGGATTACCTAAACAGATTGTTTTATATCAGCGTACGTAACAGCTGTGTTTCTATCAGTTTTCCAAGATAAATTAACACTCAGAGTAGATAACACTTCGAAAATACATATTTTCACACTCATTATTTGGCTTTCACTTGGAAATACTATATCTTGGTCTGCGCTCATACCACATACATATGCCATACCCTTGCTAACAGATTAAATTTATCCAATCGCCATCGGCCTTAAATGCCTGGAACGCAGAATGTTTTTCTACTTCTTTTTATCACAGTAGAAAAGCACAGCCGGCAAACTGGTGAAGACTGTCGCAGCAACAACAAAACCACCATGAAATTGAGCATAAGAATGAGAGAGACAGAGAGAGAGATAAAGTTTAGCGGTGTGCGTGTGTCTTCCAGCTCTTATGGAACAGGAGCGGACTTTTCGAGTGACAGGTAAAGGTCTGGAGCATAACCATAGGCAAAGATTTACATATGCTTCTGTTAGTTGTATATTTATTAAATTGCTGATTTTCATACGCTTCTGTTAATTATATATTTATTAAATTGCTGATTCATTAAATAATAAATAAGAAATTATTCATATATGACATACAGTGCTGCAGCAACTTTTTTGTTGGCGAAGCAATAATTCACAGGGCTGCAGCTTATGGCTTACGGGTTAAGCAACATTTATGTGTCGCCTCTGTGTCTCTCTTCGTTAAGTATTTGTATAGGAGTGTGTGTGAGAGAGCCTGCACGTGTTTTCTATATAACACTATGTCTGGGGTTTCGCTGTTTCGTTTTCGTTTGTTTGTTCGTATTCTCGAATTGCTGCGGCTGACGCGCCGCAATGGAAAGTTTTGTGCGCCATCTGCAAACTATGAGACACACTGCATACCCATACGTCGAAAACTATTTGAGGCAATGCAATTGTTGTTAATAAATTAAATTTGGCAAAGATTTAATTGCCAAGGCGAAGGCTGATCAAACAAATTGTCGCATCGTCTCTTACGTAAGAATCAACAAACTGTTAAGAGCTACTTATTATAGCCATGATATTTATACGTACGTACAAATATTTTTATATATAAACCTATGCTGAATCGTAAAAATAAATAACATAAAAACAAAACAGAAAATATCCAAAATAAACAGAATCTGTGCGTCGGCAGAGACGAAACGACGGCAACGAACTCAAGAGCGTCATTTCGGTAATCATCACTAGTCGCAGCGGTAGTGGCAGAGCTTAAGATTGTGAGAGCGAGCGCTCAAGAGCGCGAGAGAGCGGAAAAGCTTTTGCTTGACCTGTGTATGTGCACTCACCTGCAATGCGCTCGCCCGGCTGCGTTTTAGAGCAGTTTTTGATGGTCAACTGATGATCCTGGCGCAGCGCAGCTGGCAGCGATGCCGGCGGTGGCAGCGGCAGTGGTGGCGGCACTGTTGAAGCCCCCACACGAACGGCTTTGTTGGCGCTGGCAGCGGCAGCGGCGAATAACATTTTAAAGCGCAATCGGATCTCACCGACTCTCAGCTGCTGTTGCTGTTGCACTTGACCCGACGTGCCACGACTCTCGACGTGACGATATAAAGCATAAATTTCGGTTTTATATTCGAAATTGCAACCGTCGACGTTGTTTGCTGCGTATTTGCGCTGCAGCGGCGCTCGCAGATGTAAACGTTCTGCTCCTGATACTGTTTCCTTTGCTGCTGCTGATGCTGCTGCTGCTGCTGCTGTGGGCGGCGGCTGCGAAGGTCGATTGTGGGCGTGGTCCTTGACGTCGCGACTGGCCACAAACTCAATAGATGGACTCTCGCGCAAATAATCTAAGAATAGCGCGAGGCTTTCACGGCGCACACAATAACGTAATTTATGATGACAATAATGAGGTTGATGGATATGATTATGCTGCTGGTTTGTCTTCCTCTGTCGTCGTTGCTGTTGACTTAGGTTTTGCCTTTTGATTTTATGTTTGTCAGCGCAGAGCTTTTTGATGCCTCTGTCGTTGCTGCTGCAAGCGTCACAGCTGATGCTGAAACTTGCTGCTGCTACGGCTGTTTCCTGCTGCTCACCCCAGCAGATGATTTTTGCTATTACAGCACCAACACCCAACAGCACCCCCGCACCGTATTGGTGAAATGACGAGGCTTTCGGTTTCCCAGGGCTTTCGTTTAGGGACACTGACGTTTGCGCTTCGATCGATTTATCTGTTATGAAATTGATGCGGCTCACTTCGATTGCCGAATATGAAAATCTATTTAGCTTTGAATCATTTATTTCATTCGAATAGCAATAATTATACACATTCGTAGGAAGTACATATTCAGCTCTCATAGTTGTCTAACTGCACTTGCCATTTTTGTGTTAGCGCGCCGCATCACACACACATACACATAAACACTTCAGCACACACCTTTACACTCATTGATATGCACATAAATACCGATTTTCGGACTAAGTGCGTGCACTTTTTCACTGGTACTTTGCCTTAAAGAAGTTGGCACTTAAATCGAATTTTCAGACGCTTTTGATTGTGCGGATTTATCGCGTCGCACAGCATGCACAGGCGCAAGGTTGAAGGAAAACTGCAAAAGCTTTTGCCGCTAGGAAATAAGAATTACCTCAAAAATGTTTGCAAGTGTTGTCTGCATCTGCCGAAATGTCGCTTGGCTTTGATTTTCTTTAGGGTTGCGCTGCGATAGCACTATCTGGCAGCACCATTCTAAGTATTGCATAATGTCACCGCACAGCTGACAGTGTTGGTAAACCCGCGATTTTAAAGTTTAAAAATAAATATTGAATAGCGTAACGATACACATATCGCATAGGTCTATATACATCGACTTTATTGTTTTAAACAATTGTTTTTGATTTTCGTTTAATTTGTAGACAATTTATTTTAACTGATAGACGCACTAAGAATTTCCAATTCACAACGTTTAAGCAAACAGACGCATCTCATCGCGTGGCGCAATTGTTTTTGGCGGCGACGGAGTCTCGAATTCGCCCAACTCCGCATCGTAGTACAGAGCAGCGCGATATGGACGCAGCTCCCAGGGCACCTGATCCTCCATATTCGTTAGCTGCACGCCCAAATCTTCTAACGTTGGCACGCCGGGCAGCACCTTATCAGTGACGGCCTCACGCTCAACGCGATCCAGATGCAGTCCACCAATGGGGGCACCAGGGCAAATCAAGTTGGTGAGTTTCACCTTTAGCTTGAAAGTGGGGTCCCAGCGCATATCATAGCGCTGGTAGCCCCAACCCTTTTGATCCTTGCGCATCAGGCGATGGAACCAGTCAACCAACTCGCTCAGCTGATATCGCTTGGGTCTGTAATTAATTATAGACATAATTATAAATTTAATTCAATCAAATGCATTTAAGAACTTACCCCACAGCCTGGTAGATACGGCCGGCGGTATCTGGATCCTTGGCAGCATTGACAATCGCCTGCGCCACGTCCGAAACATACACAGGCTGCTTCACCGTGCGCTCGCCCTTGTGCCACAGTGGCATCGAGCGGAACTGACGACGCCAGATGTGTGCATAGTAGCGTAAGAACCGATCCTCGGAACCATAAATGTCGGCCGGACGGATGATGGTGGCATTCGGGAAGGCATCGCGCACCATCAATTCGCCTTCGTACTTGGTCTTCAGCCATTGGCTGCCGCCGGAGATATAATGAGGCTTAGGATTGGCCTCAGCATTCAACGCAGACAGATGTATAAAACGCTCCACGCCGGATTCCCGACAAATGCTACGAAAACCAACTAAATGAAATATGTTTGTAAACTATCTACAACGGCTTACCTAGCCAGACGCGCAGCTCCATTGACATTGACATCCTTGAATCTAAAGTTCTTCGTTTCGTAGTCACGACCAACCAAATTGATGACCACATTCGAGTGCTTCACTGCCTCGCGTATGGAGCGCGGATCATCGAGATGGTAAAAATGGAACAGCACTTGGCCCAAGTCACCGCAAACCTTTAGACGAATCGCATCGGAATCATCACCGCGATATGGCAAAATCATTTGACTGCCTGACTTGCCCAGTTTGTTGCACACATAGCGACCCACAAATCCGGTGGCACCGAACACCGTAGCCACAATCCCGTTGAAGCTGCTGCGTCCGCCTGTGCCGCGCTTCATGGCAGCCAGATTTGTTGTCTTCAGTGGGCGTGGAGCATCTGGATCGGGCGGAGCAGCGGCGGCGCTGTAGCTTCGCAGGCATACCACACCAACGATACCGCTGCCATGATGCTCTGCAAAGTTAAAATTTATATTAAGATCGGCAAAACTTCTACGAACATTACATAATTTTTGCGATGCACCCAAATTAATTGGTTGCTCGGCGACTTACTGGCCAGCTGCATGTTCCTAGTTAGCACTATGGCAGCCATTATTTTGTGGCGCACTCTACACCAACTAACAAAAGTTAATTTGTAATTATTTGAAAACTTTTCCACGCAGTTTCTAATCTGCTTGGTCGGGAGAATGAAAACACAGCCTTAGATGTCAGCAGCAGGCCAGTGTGACCGCTTTTTTGGGAGGAAAATACCAAGACTCGTCGATTGGTCGATGACAGTCGTAGACAGTGTTGCCACATCTGTTAGGCTTTGAGAAATTTAAATTTTGCGCTTGCTACTGATTATATATATAAATAAATAAACAGAAGGCTATGAGCTCTACGTTTTGAAACCTCGTTTTTTGCATTTTTGACTATTTTGGTTACACAAGAAACTGCACTTGTGCTACTCTAACCGCACGCCTATTTTATCTAATGTGCGTGCTTATTGTATACTCCATGCTTAATTGCCTTTGATATGGCTCTGAAAGAATTGCAAAGACATTTGTTAAATACAACGGCCAGTTGTTGCTTAACTGTCGGGCCGACGACAATATCGAGTATGTGTTAAAACGAAAGCGTATAAACCTCACAGAATTAGTTTATACCTCTACACAAATGCGCTTATCGAAAGTTAAAATGTGATAAGAAATACAATATACGAACGACGAAATATTTAAACAAAAATCGCACTTCAGCGCCGTAATAAGTGCGCTCCTGGCAACAAATAGTGAGAAAACTAAAATTAAGTGATAAAAATTGACGCCAACGCGATTACGAATAGATTAGCATATGCTCAGTGTTTATGCGGCCGCTTTGAACGGAAAGTCCGTCGGCATAAATAGTTAATATTAGTTTTGATTTGTCAGTTTATGATAAGCTGCACGTATAAACGTAAATCAACATCAAACGCAACATAAATTTGTCAGGTAACAAAAAAAACAACGATCAGCCAAAACCTGCACGCGCCTGCACGCTCATCCTCTCCCTGTCCCTCGCGCGCTCTCTCTCTCTCTCTCTCTCTCTCTCTCTCTCTCTCTCTCTCTCGCTCTTCTTTTCATACATAATAAATCCCTTTCTGTCTGGCACTATTCCACCCACTGATAAAACTCGTCTAACTAACGCACGCACTCAACAGCCTACACCCCCAAGCGTGCGCTCACACTCTCCCTTCCTCTCACTCTCTCACTCAGTGTTTCTCATTTGTTGTTTTGCTTGCTATTTAGTGCTATGCTCTCACTTTCAATTGCTCGCTTGCCTGTGTCTGCCTGGCTGCCTGCCTGCTCGATTTGTATATATTTCGGTATATTTTCTGCTTTCCATGCTATTATCATCATTGTGTTGCTGCTGATCTGCGTTCGTTGTTTGATGCCAGCGTTTCATTAAAGTTTGAGCCGCAGAGCTGTTAACATCGTGTGAGCGCATTCGGCAAATATTGCAAATTGCGGTCAACAGGTGTCGCCGCGTGCGTGTGATAATTAGCGCTCGAGAAACAACAAATTTGAATTCCAAAACTCAAAAAATAATAGGAAACGCGTATAGAAACTATATACTATATGTATACATATACATATATTGCGGTAACGGTGCAACTTGTGAAGTGCTAAAAATAGATATTTAATATTTGTACGTATCAAATTTGTGATTTCTTATACATATTTATTTAATGTGTGCTCGCTTCTATTTATATATGGAGCAACGTTGTCTAAGTATATCTACTAAAAATTTGTTTATAAACTTTTTATTTGACGCCCGCCAAAAACGGAATGTCCAAACAAAAACGTAAAACCATATAAAAATCTGATTCAAGTAAAGGTTTGTTTTTTTTTTTCGATAAGACTCTGGGGGCTTGTGCCTCTGTGTTGGCTATCAAAATATTCCACAATAGCAGAACTGGATGGGCTTCAATCTGCTGCGTACCTGTCGATATCGAGCAAGTCACAAGTGATTCGTTAGCAAATATGAATGAATTCATTTAGCAAGTGATTATTCCGAGGCGCTTGGCACCAAAAATACAAAATCTAAACTTTTGCCCAGTAAAAATATAAATTCTGCGTCATATGCAAAGATATCCCAAAAATTAATGTTAATTCGCGACTATATTTGTCTAGACTCTATACATATAGGCAGGTATGACTAGGGAGGGCTACGGTCGCGATTCAATGCAAATGATGAAACAAACCTTGAAAACAGAAATGGCCTCTAGTCAACAACAACTAACTGTTCTTGATTGTTGTTTATATTTAAATACGCGAAAATGGGAAAAATTGAAAAATGGAATTCCTTATGCAATTTGTATAGAACAATTTACCACTGGCTCATTAACTGTAATTTAATAGCGAATGCAATTGGCCCATTAGAGATGATATTATTCTGTCAATTATTTTAGTTATTGTAATTGTTTATAGAGAGAAAGTGTTTTTTGTTTATTGATAAAGTCGTAGATCTCACGATGCATGGATTCCATTTATATATGTATATAATTATATATATGTACGTATATAATGGCATTTTATTTTTATCAGTTATGAAGAAATGCATTAAATGTGTTTTACGGCTTGACAGGTGCAGTAATTATTTACGAAACGTACTTTATGCAAGTGCCGACATCTCTTACGATAATCGAAACGGTACCAGTACGATATATACATGTAAGAAAACACTAAAATATGGTAACATATTGCCTGAGCCACATCCTGACAGATAAACTCACTTTTGTATCAATCAAAATTAATGAAATTCAGTGAATTCCGTTGCAAATTACTCTGCATTCCTTTTTATACACATTCACGACAGCTAAATGAGTATATTGCTTTTTCCAATATCCAATGAAATGTGTAAACCTTGATTTATATACTGTCAAATCGGAAAATAGATCTGTATTCTGCAGTCGGTAATGCCCTATTGCAACGTCCTTAATTGCTCAAGCACAAAATTGATATTTTTGGAATTGCCACGCCCTCATTAACACATCATATAATGATAAGGTCTATATGTAGAACCACTTAAGAATTCTTCTATTGCAAATCAGGTTGAGCCCCCTCTAAGACCACAGAAGTTTTACGTAAAAATATACAAATAAATTTACTAATGTTAATATTTAATAATAAATATGTACGTAGTAAACCAATCCGAAGGCCTTTAAACCTAGTGTTATGCCCGTTAAATCGCTGACAATTCAATTTATGTTCATTTATCTATCATTTCCTCACCAAGTCTTTGTCAGCCAAGTAAATAGCTCTTAGAGATCTCACTTAGTCATCAATTAGAACGTCGAAAAATCTTATTCAATTTATGTTCAGACTTTCATATCGAGCTTAGCTCGGGGCGTAAGTCCATCTTCTAAATGTAGCACTTCACGTGTCAATTAGATCAATAAAACGAGTCACTTCATCAAGCATTCGCCGGTGCGAAGCATACGAAATGATATCTCAGAGTTTTGGGTTTCCTTACTGTTTCTTTTGATTTATATTCTTTGGATATAAATCCATGTGTGTATATATACTTTTTATATATTTTGTTTACACTGTAAGCTGTCTATATGTATTGTATATTTGTATATGACTTTTTTTTATCATTTGGTCATCAACTGCAGTTTGTTTTCGTTAACTTTGAGCTGAGGCAAATGCTTGCATACAAATTGAATTTTTGCATTGGCAAAAAAATAAAACTTTACAGAAAATTGAATTTCATTTGATTTGAAAATTTCGAAATTTGTTAACGTTGGTCCGTGGCCCGTTTGCAACGACGTCGACGGCAATTGAATTGAATTTGATCTAAGCTAAGCCGGTGCCAGGCCATGCTAACGTATTCAAATATTGTCTATATACTATATAGATTTTGATTTTGATTCGATTTTGACCAGTTTGAACACGTCTCCAAGGTCGACTGCTTTACGCATTTGGAATTTTAGATTGATGGAACAAATCAATTACTATATTTTAGCTTCAATTAAAGAAAAACAGCAACGTAATATGAATATTAGATATATTTATATATAAATATAGAGTAGTTACACCTGTTTAAGGTAAAGCTAACGATTTACTCTGAAAGAATGTTCAGTTCTCAAATTAGGCGTAAACCTTAATATATTTAACAACTGCCGCCTGCTACTTGTGTTAAATTTTTATTTGTTTGTTTGTTACTCACAAGTGGAGCACAAAGCCGCCTTCTCTCTTTTTCTCTATCTCTCTCTTGCCCTATCGCTATATATCTCTTTACGCTATGCTTTATTCAATGAAAACAAAATCTAATTGAGGAAATGAACGTTTAGCATTTAGTCAAACATCCAGAACATGCATGGGTCGTACACAGATCCCAACCTCTGCATTGACAGTCGATCCTATTATCAGTTGATGCACTTATTTGTAATACTCGCTCATAAAGTCAAAAGAGCATATTTGTGCGCTCGTCTGTCTGATATAGCAAGTAAATAAATGAATGGACTTTGGAACAGATCTATATATATACATATATATATATATATATTTAGTAGTCGTGTATATGATAAGGTATTAAAAGTTTTTGAGCATGCCTTTTGGGGGGGCGTGGCTAATCGACAAATACTATTGTTTGTATAACATAAACACTATTATTTATAGCATCTTTAAAGCCAGAAACTTGTAATTTGAATCAAGTATATACTTATATATCTAAAACTGTGAAAACTAACTTGCTCTGCCTATTGAGGGCAAGGCAGTTTCTACAGTTTGAGAGCCACTGCTGCTGCTAATGCTAGCAAGTGGCTTGTGGAAAAAATAAATATATATATTATTTCGATATATCTATATGTAGTTGTAGTAATAATAATAATTATAATAATAATAAGAATAATAATAGTAATAATAATAATAATAATAATAATAATAATAATAAAGAATAATAATATAATATAATAAGTATTAATTTTCATCGTCTGTAATCGAGTATTATGCAGTCAGTTATATCTCTAACTAAGCGAAAACTGTCAGCTGTTTGGTTTTGTTTTTGTTTTTGTTTTTTTGATTAGGTGGGTGCTAGTAGGTGGATGGTTCTATGATAGCCCCGAGGCGTCACTGAATACTTTTTAATCGATTTGGAGGCTAATTAATGGCGAACAATAGATAGAATTCGATCTAATCAATGCCTAAATACACCCACGCGTGGCGTTTAAAATGCAATCAGCTGCTTAGCCATGACAGCTGAAAGAGGTTGGGTCG